CTTGCACACCTTCAATCCAAGGGAAGAGATGATAGAAGGGAGATGATGGGTCACGGGTCTGCCGAAGAAGTGCCAAAATGAAGGAGACAAATTGGCGATGGTAAGTAGCTGAGTCAAAGGGACGGGTACTCAATTGCCCTACTCTGAATTCTAGCTTGGTCTCAGATGGATTTGAATTGAAGGTGAGGATTGGAGTAAAGAATTCGGATGATGGTGATGGGAGAACAGTAGAGGGCTAGGGTCTTTCCTATTCTTCTATAAAAAGGTGGGTGGATTGTAGGGAGAGGGGGGCCGAGAGTTTCGAAAAAAAAAAAGAGAGTTGGAGAGCCGAAAAAGAAAGAGAGGAATTTCTGTAATTGCCTCAAGGCTCAAGTTCATCTTTTGAAATGCGGACCATTAAGTATAGGTTAAATCTTAATTTGGTCCCTCAACTTTAGTGAGTTGCACTTTTTTGGTCCCTCAACAATTTTTTACACTTTTTTGATCCCTCAATTTTAAAGATTGCATAATTTTAATCTCTCCATCAGTTAAATATGATGTGGTAATTAAATAATTTTATGTGGCATTTTCTTTTAATTTTTTTGATGATGTGGCAATAATATATCTTATAATTATCTTACATGGACAAAAAAAAGCCACATCAATTAAATATTTATATTTTAATAAAAAGAAATAAAAACATGCAAAATGACATTATTAGCCCTCGCCCTCTCGATCCTTCTTTCTTCCCCTACCTACCTCTGACTCAATGGTTCCATTGAACCCAGATTTGCTGGATTCGATGGAACCCATATCGCTTGGGTTCCCTCGAACTCAGGTGTTGGGATCATGGAACCCAAATCGGTTGGGTTTCGACGAACCCAGCTCTGTTGGGTTCCATCAAACCCAGCTGTTGGGTTCGTGGAACCCAAATTGGCTGGGTTTCGACGAACCCAACTGTTGGGTTCCACAAGTTGGGTTCTGTCGACCCCAACTACTGGGTTCGACAAAACCCAATTTTGCTGGGTTCCATCGAACCCAGCTGTTGGGTTCGATGGAACCCATATTGGTTTTTGGATGTTTCTTTGGTTTTTGATTGAGGGCTATCTCTTGGTTTTTACTTGCTATTCAAAAAAAAAAAAAAAGAAGAAAGACTTTTGGGAATGGTTGTTGCATTGAGATTATGTTATGCTGCAATGTTATCCATGGGATTTTGAGAATTAATCATGATTTCACCAGTAGAAAAGGTAGTAACGGACTGGCTGGGTTCGACAAAATCTAACTCTGTTAGGTTCCATGGAACCTAGCTACTGGGTTCGACAAAACCCAGCTTTATTGAGTTTCTTCGAAACCTAGCTGTTGTGTTTAGAACTAGGTTATGTTGATTTCCATTCTTTTTCAGAACTAGGTTTGTCAAGTTCACCATGTTTTCTCATTCTTCTTCGATTTCCATTTTCAGTTTTTGATAAATTTGGGAATTGATTTACAATTTAATTGCATTTATGCTGAAATTTAATTAGAAATTGATTGACATTGTTTATTGAGTTAATTTGATGAAGTGGAGATGAGAGAGCATTCAGAGAAGAAGAAGAAATGGGTGAAGATCGATTTTGCAGATGGAATGGAGATGTAAGAGCAATTTAGGGTTCATAGGCATTTTACCCTTTATTGGTGCTTTGGCAGGCAATGTGGGACCCATTTGAGTGGATTTGGCACCTTTAAGTCGTGGGAACATGACATGGCAAAAAGTTTTGTCCATATTAGCACTTTTTAAAATTTTGCTCTCCACATCATAAAAAAAAATATAAAAAATGCCACATGGACGGAGTTAACAGCCCAAATTGATGGAAGGACTAACGTTATGCATTTCTTAGAGTTGAGAAATCAAAAAAATACAAAAAATTGTTGAAGGACCAAAGAAGTGCAACTTACTAAAGTTGAGGGACCAAATTTAGCATTTAACCTTAAGTATAATTTTGTTCCTATTTGATTATTGATGTGAATTTCTCTCTAATTGAAATGAAAAATATGAAATTTTATTTTTCCTCCTGAAATTTGCTGCTTGTTGGCGTACGGTGCTTCACATTCCATAAGTTTAGATTTTGATATGAATCATTTTTTTTATTTGTGGCATTCGGATCTGCTATTTTTTGGTTGTTTTGAATGGAAAGCATCAATTCATCAGGTTAAAGGGCTAACAAAACATCGGGTTTCCTTAAGCCTGCTCCATGATCTTGGCATTCTTTCTGGTACTATTCATTTTTTTTTCCAAAATGTGTAAGTTTTTTAAAACTAATATGATTGAGGGATTGGGAATGAAATTATCAAAATTTAAATCTTAAATTTTTAAATATCATCACTTTTCTTAAATAAGTTGTGACTATTGGGCACAATGATAGTTGGCTCTCAAAATCTGTATTTAACAAAGTCATGATTGAAATTTTGATCTGTTACATAAATTTGCCACCAAGTGTTGACTCCAAGCAGTTTTACCGCAAGATTCAGTCCAAACAATTGAACAAAGTCATGCTTGAATATAACGCCCTTTGTCGCTTAGCTTGGGTTTTGCCAAGCTTGTGTTACTATTCATTTAAGTGGGCTGAGTAACTAAAGCTTAGGCATTTTTTTCTTTTTGGTACCGAATGTGCTATGCTTTATTACATCTGCTAATTGTGCAGTGCCACTTGCTTGTGATAAGGGCTTTGTTCAATGCTGTTCTTAAAATCCCATGGGTCCTAATTGTTAAAGCTTTTTGCTTCTGTTC